AAGAAGATTATTGAACCACTTGGTTCAAGTGAGAGATTTTGGACGGCTTAGAGCAACTTACCTTTATACTTTTAATAAGAATATATGAAGATAAGGATAAGAAATTTGTCATTTTTTCTAATTAAGGGCATAAATTAAAAAAATTTTTGAATTAGGTGATAAATTTTTATTTCCTTCTAAATAAGGTACTTATTTTACAATTTTTTTTATTTAAAGATTTACTGGATGACGAAGATGATGTGTTAAATAGCAATCATATTTAGAATAAGCTTAAGGTGATTGTATCCTTAAATTAAAAAGAAAAAAAGGCAAGGCTTATAAATTTTATGTTGAAAGCTTCCTTAATTTTTAGGTTAAAATATGCATTTAGCTTTTCATCTTAACAAATTTGATATTTTTAGTCTCTCACTTTACATTATAAAGTTTTTAACCTCTAAATTTAAATGTTTGAAGATTTAGTTTAAGCGTTTGAAGATTTAGTCCTTAAACCAACGGAATCCATTAACTCTCTATTAAAGTGAGAATAAAATATTTACAAAATCAGTTTTCAAATATTAAATATGTAACAACTTAGTTTTATAAGTTTAAAAATTAAAAAAAATAAAAATAATTAGTAGATAACTTTGCCACATATACGAAAACAGTACTAGATATCTATAATCTAATCAAGTGATTAGTTTAATACAAAGAAAGAAAGTTCAATACAAAGAAAGAAATCTACCTGAGATTAAAGAAAATTTATTTATTATATTCTTCTAAGCTTTTTGATTTTCAATCTTAATTTAGTTAAAAAATTTTCTTTAGTCTCAATCAGAATTCTTTTTTCAAATTGAGTTAATCACATAATTTGATTATAAATATCTAATACTATTCTAGTATATATAAGAAAGCCATCTATAAATTCTTTTTAGTTTATTATTTTTTTAGTTTTTAAACTTTTAAAACTAAATTGTTACATTTTTAATTTTTGAAGATTAATTATATAAATATTTTATTTTCACTTTAACAAGCGTAAACAAATTTCATTAGTTTAGGGAGTAAAAACTTTATAATATAAAGTAAAGAATTAAAAATTTTAAACTTAATAAAATAAGAAACTAAACACATAATTTAAAAATTAGCAGTCGCTCCCACCGGCTGACCCCTTTTTTCCCTCTATTACTGTTGAGCAGATTTTATGCTCTTTTTTTTTGTGGGAGTTTCCCACAACTCTTTTTTTTCCGTCCAACCAAAAAAATTGACTTTTTTTTTTCCTTTAATAAATCATAATTCCGTATATAGTCAAAGAGCTGACATAGGATATCAAGAAAATTTGTTAAGCACAGCCAGCCCCTCTGCTTTTAATTTTCAAATTATATTTCCTAATGAAAGTTGAAAAACCGGATTCGATTCTTCAGACTTCAAACCATCAATTTTTGTCTTTTCATTCATTTTTTCTAATTAATCCTCCCGCCTATTGTACTTGGTTCTTTGTCACCAAACAATATGGTTAACCAAATTTCCAATTCTCCTCCACTTTTGGTGGGCAAAAAATGGCTGCATTTTCCCTATGAGATTCACGAGATGGGACAGCTATTAAAAAAGACTTAAATTTATTAATGAATAAATATTGTTTTATAAATTAAATTTATAATTTAATTATAAAAATTAATATTTAAAAAATTAATTTTTAATACATTAAATTAATATAAATAATAATAGTTAAAATCGCTTGAAGATAAACTACAAATTTC